TATGGTGAAGAAAGGAGGGGGGCTACCACTTCCATGGTACTATGACCAATTGACTATGCATGCTGCCTTGTAGTTTTTTTTTTTTTTTTTAAGGGTAATTTATTTTTGTTTTTGGTGGGGTGGTCTTTCATGGAAGACTCGGTCAAAAAGAGATGGCCAAGCACACGCGAATAAACCAGAGAATGTGGGTGCATGATGATTAGATTTTGGAGACGATGAATGATGATGCTTTTGATGATTGTTAGGTCGTTTTCCAAAAGCATATAGTTCTTACAACTACTACATCTCTCCGCATACTTTCTGTAAGAATACTACTGTTTGAATACACGTATAGCACACACTGATTTTGAAAACAAAATCAGTAAGTTAATTATTGATCTTCCATTGATCAAGAATGTAGATTTTTGAAAAATATCATCATCATCCAATAAAATATTAAACTAAACTTGGTAAATATCAAAAATATATATGACAATATTTGTAAATTTCTTATATATTCATTAATCTCCAAAGTGGAATATATATAGGAGTTGCAATTGGTATTGCATGTGCACTTCATCAATGTGGAATAATAGACTACTATTTACACTTTAACTAATATCTAACTCGCAACACTCCCCCTCAAGTTGGAGCAAAGATGTCACGCATGCCCAACTTGTCAAGTGAGTTGGAAACACACTTCCAACATCCAATTTTTCCTTGATGAAATGTCGATCAATCTCCACATGTTTTGTTTGATCATGTTGCACTGGATTATGAGCAATCTCAATAGCAACCTTGTTATCACAATGGAGTTTCATAGCACCCTAGGGTTTAAATCCAAGATCTCTCAACAATTTTTTCAACCACAATAACTCACATACACTATGAGACATACCACAAAACTCAGCTTTAGCACTTGACCTAGCCACCACTTTTTGTTTCTTGCTTCTCCAAGTAACTAGATTACCACCCACAAACGTAAAGCATCCAGATGTAGATTGTGGATCAGTGATAGAATCTGCCCAATCTGTATATGTATACCCTTCGACATTTAAATGACCATTCTTGGAGAAAACCAAGCCTTTGCCAAGAGCAATCTTCAAGTATCTCAAAATACGAATTACTGCATCCATATGAGCTTCACTATGTGAGTGCATAAACTGACTTACCACACTAGCTACATAAGCAATGTCAGGGCGAGTGTGAGACAAATAAATTAATCTCTCTACAAGCCTCTGATACCGTTCCTTATGAGTAGGAACTTGATTTGGAAATAAGCCCCGACAATGATTTTGCTCAATCGGAGTATCAACAGGTTTGCAATCTAACATACTTGTTTCAGCTAACAAATTAAGAACATAGTTCCGTTGAGACAAAAAAATACCATGCTTGGATCATGTAACCTCAATTCCATGAAAATACTTTAATTCACCCAATTTTTTCATCTCAAATTTAGTAGCTAGGTACTTTGAAGGCGTTGTATCTCCTTCTGATCATCACCAGTTACTATCATGTCATCAACATAAATAATCAATGCAGTTAGCTTACCATTTTGTCGCTTTAGAAACAAAGTATGATCTGAATGACTTTGGACATACCCAAACTTCTTCATTGAACTTGTAAACCCAAACCACGCTATAGGAGATTGTTTTAAACCATACAAAGACTTTCACAACCTGCATACAACACATTTTCCAGGAGATGTTCCGATACCAGGTGGGAGATCCATATAAACTTCCTCCTTGAGATCACCATGAAGGAAATCATTCTTAACATTAACTGCAACAGAGGCCAATCATGGTTTGTTGCTAAGGACAGAAGAACACGCACAATATTAAGTTTGGCAACAGGAGAAAAGTCTCTTGATAGTCCACCCCAAAGGTTTAAGTATAACCCTTAGCAACTAATCTGGCTTTATACCGGTCAATAGAACAATCTACTTTGTGTTTAATAATGAACACATATCCACATCCAACAGTTTTCATCCCGTTTAGTAAGGGAACCAAATCCCAAGTAGAATTCTTTTCCAAAGCTTCCATCTCAACTCTCATAACATTAACCCACTTAGGGTCAGACAAAGCATCGTGCAATTTGTTGGAATTGATACACTAGATAGTTGACATATGTAAGATGCATATGGTTTGGACAAACGATAAGTATGTTAACAAACCAACTGTATGGAAGAAACTTAGAGAAGAAGATATCAAACACAGAGAAATAGAGAGAGAAAGTAGAGAGGGAAAAAATAATCTTGTTATATTTTTTCTTCTGTTTATGACAACACTAATCTCTTATAAATACAACACACCTTATGACTAACATTCACAACCCCAATACAATAATGACACATGGCATAGCTATATCCTAACATTCCTCCTCAAGCTTATGCTTGGAAGAACCAAACATAAGATTGTTACAATGTGAGCTAAACATAGGATAACATAAGCCCTTAGTAAAGATGTCAGCATGCTGCTATGAGGATGTAACAAACTGCAAGATAATGGAACCTTGTTGAACACGTTCTCGAACGAAATGAGAATCAATTTCAATATGTTTAGCTTTAGAATGTAAGACCGGATTTGTTGCTAGTGCCATAGCAGAAATATTGTCACAGTGTAGAAGAGGAAAGTCTGAACAGGGAAGATGCAAGTCCTTGAGTATTTGTTGTAACCAAACCACCTCAGCAGTCGTTGTCGCCATAGCACGATACTCAGCCTTGGTAGATGAACGACTAACCGTGTGCTGCTTCTTAGAACTCCAAGATACAGGATTATTGCCTAGGAATACTACAAAACCTATGGTGGATCTCCTGTCATTAGGATCCCCAGCCCAATCAGCATCCTTATATGCTTTAAGATCCATATTTCTAGGTTGAAAACACAAACCAAGATTCATGGACCCTCAAAGGTACCGCAAGATCCGTTTAACAGCAATGAAATGACTGTCCAGAGGTGAGTGCATGAATTGACAAAATTGATTGACCTAGTATGCAATATCCGGTCGTGTAAATGTCAAATATTGGAGAGCACCAACAATGCTGCGATAGAGACCTGGATCATGGAAAAGAGGACTACCATGATTCAGCAGCTTTTGATTTGGATGACAATGAGTTGTACACGGTTTGCAATCCAGCATGTTTGTCTTAGTAAGAAAATCAGTAACATACTTGGTTTGATGCACTAGGAAACCTGTAGGTCGATAATCAATCTAAAGACCAAGGAAATAGTGTAAAATCCCGAGGTCCTTCATATCAAATTCAGCTGTTAATTGATCTATGACAGCTTGAACTTGAGTATCATAATCACCACTGAGAATTATATCATCAACATATAATAACAGTACAATAATAGACGGACCATTTTGCTTCACATATAACGATGAATCAGCATATGAGGATTTAAAACCCAAGGTAAGAAGAAACCTGGAAAATCTGTCATTCCAAGCTCGAGAAGCTTGTTTAAGGCCATAGAGAGACCGGTTCGATTTGAACACAAACTCAGGATGAGCAGGATCAATGAAGCCTTGTGGCTGAGACATATACACCTCTTCATCAAGAAAACCATGAAGAAAAGCGTTCTTGACATCTAACTGTTTTAATTTCCAACGCTTTGTAGCAGCTAGGGACAACAGAAGTCTCACTGTGGTTGGCTTGACGACAGGACTGAAAGTTTCATGATAGTCAAGACCGGCTTCTTAGGAAAAACCCTTGGCCACAAACCTGGCCTTGTATTGAGCAACTGAACCATCCGGATTACTTTTGATCTTATAGATCAATTTACAACCAACCAAGTTCTTGTTAGGTGGAAGAGGAACTAATCTCCAGGTTTTCTGCTTCACAAGAGCTGCCATTTCATCGTCCATAGCTTGTATCCACTCAGGGGACTGAACAACAACCTTGAAAGACTGTGGCTCAGTGATAGAAGAAGATTGTACCTGAGCAAGAAGAGCATTCTTTTTTAATATGCCAGATTTCGACCTTGTTTGCATTGGATGTGTATTGATTTGAGACACTGGAACATGATGCAGTGCTTGAACTTGAGAAGTAGTAACATCAGGATTAATAGCAGCATGCTCCACAGACTGTGAAACTGTGGCCTCAGTAGGTAAGCATTGAGAAGAGACAAGATCACCAGGTATGGAGGAAGATGACTGAGTAACAGAAGGAGAATATGTGGTATGGGAAGAAGAATAAGGAAATGGACTATGGGGAAAAGGAATGGGAATAAAAGATGGATGTTGAAATCTATTTGGATGAGCTATAATCGACGGTGCCAATGATGGTGAACTAGAAACAGAACCTGGTAAGCTAGGAAATGTATCTTCATCAAACACAACATGCCTAGAAACAATTAGTTTATGGTCTCGGATAGCATAGCAAATATATCCTTTGTACTGAGCTGCATAACCCAGAAATATGCACTGTGTAGTTTTTGGTTCCAACTTGTTGTGTCTATAGGGTTTTAAAATAGGGTAACATGCACATCCAAAAACTCTTAAATGATCAAGCCTAGGTGGAGAGTGATATAACTTTTCAAATGGAGAATGCATATGTAAAACAGGTGTAGGCATTCGATTGATAAGAAAGGTGGATGTGGCACAAGCATGAAACCAAAACTGTGAAGGAAGAGAAGCTTTTGTAGTAAAGTAAGGGCAATTTCAACTATGTGACGATTTTTTCTCTCAACCAACCCATTTTGTTCAGGAGTATAGGGACAAAACTTTTGATGCAATATACCTATGGTTCTAAGAAACTTTTGAAACATAGATCCAACAAACTCTCCACCACCATCACTTTGTAAGACTTTGATAGTAACAGAAAATGAATTTTGAATGAAAGCATGAAACTGAATAAAGGTTTCACAAACTGCAGCTTTATTCATGATTGGAAAAATCCATGTATATCTTGTACATTCATCGATGAAAGACACATAGTACCTATAACCCTTTATAGACATGATAGGTGCAAGGCCCCACACATCTGTGTGAATGACTTCAAATGGTACATTGGACTTAGATGTTGCTAATGGGAATGGTAATTTGGTAAACTTGCCTTGTAAGCAAGAGGTACATGGTTGAGGAACAGAATGACAATGAAAAGAAATATATGCCTTAGTAAGAGCAGATTGAACTACATAATTGGTTGGATGACCCAATCTGCAATGCCACAGGGTAGTATTAACTTTCTGGCCAAGATAAGTAGCAGGTTTGATCTGTGGTTGTTTGAGCAAAGGAAGTGGGTAAACAGCATTGTTACTCAGTCATTGAAAGAGAACCTTGTTGGTGACCTTGTCCTGTATGCACACAGAAAACTCATCAACAATGCATCGACAATTATAGTCCTTACAGAATTGATGCATGGAAAGTAAATGTTGAGATAATTGTGGAACATGAAGCACTGTTTTTAACTGAAGTTTATGAGAATGAGTAATAAGAGAAGACTGTCCAATATGTGAAATGTGTAAACCTTCACCATTAGCCCCAGTTACAGTTTTAGTGGATGGATATGGGGTAGGAGCTTGTAGACAGGACAGATCAGAGGTCATATGATTGGTAGCACTAGAATCAAGCAGCCAATACTCTTGCGGAGGTGCAGAATGTGAGAAGTTGGTTCTTGCAGTGAAAGCAACGGGAGATGTAGCTTGTTGTGACATGTTCTGATGCTGCACATATGGTGGATGCATTTGTTAAACCAGAGCAGGAGCTTGAAATTGTTGAGACTGATATTGTTGAACAGGAGCAGGAGCCTGAAACTGGTGAGACTGATACATAGGCAAAGACATGGGCATAGGAGAAGTACCCATGTCGAAACATGTAGCTACAGTGTGACCAACCCTATTGCAGATTTGGCACCCATGCTGAAAACAATGGAGTGCAGAGTGTCCCTTTTTATCACAAATTTGACAGACCAACATAGGATTATAAGGTTGTGGAGTTTGAAAACTAGATTGTGGTTGAGACTGAGCATTGGTTTGAACAGACCCCTGATAACCTGAGTGAAATTTCTTCCCTTTTCCTTTGTACTTGAATTTTTGCCCCCTGAAATTATTAAATGCCAGATCCTGCTTGGGACACAAATGCATAAGGACCATGTGGAGCTTGAAGAGAGAGTGACTGAAACTGTGGAAGTTGAGGTAGTTGATGCACCGGAGCCATGTTAGGCATTTGAGCTAGTTGGGGCATGAGGAAAGAACGCAAAACTTTCATTCTCGCGACCTACGGTCCTCTGACGGCGCCGGAGTTTCATCTGTAGGCAGGGAGACGGTGCGGCAACTTTTGGGTTTTATTGTAGCAATTCTTGGAAATAGTAGGAAGATTTTCTGGAGTATGTTGTGATAAATCATGTCAAATCTGTTTGAGGGTTCTAGGGCAAATTCTTGTCCATGGGCTTTTGCCATGGCTTCAGATTCCGCTCCTCTTCCCCGAAATTCGAAGCCACCATCTATGAAGGCCAGGACCTTTGCGTCAATTGTCTCGGATTCTACTGAGCGTGTTAGCTTGAGTCAACTCCCAATTCCTGTCATACGTGGCGACCAAATTTTCGTCAAAATTAGCGAGGATTTGTACCAACAACAATTGCAATCCTTCCGTACCAATTTAATTGGGCGTTTATTGTTGCGCAAGGGCACAACCCCTTTAAAGACTGCAGAGCTCAAATCATCCCTCGAGGCTTTATGGAGGCCAGTCACGCCATGGCCTCTCGTTCCGCTTGGTAAGGGTTATTTTGATATCCATTTCAATACTGAAGATGACAAGAGGAGGATATGGGGAGGTGGGAATTGCACGTTACCGAATGGAATTTTTCGTTTATCGGAATGGCAACAAGATTTTAATCCAAATGATATTGCACCTCCTACACATGCTCAAGTTTGGATTCGAATATATGGGCTTAGCCAGGATTATTGGCATCCACGCCACCTTCTTGAAATTGCGAGGGGAGTGGGTACTCCATTGCAACTTGATAAGGCCACGAAGGAGCGCCAGTTTGGATATTATGCTCGTGCTTTGGTTGATGTGGATCTAGCTGTTGACCTCCCATCCTCCATCATGGTGGAGCGGGAGGGTCATAGTTTTCCCATTGATATAGTTTATGAAAAAATGCCGGACAAATGTAACCATTGTGGAATCTTGGGACATACCATTGATCGTTGCCGTCACCTTAAGAAGAAAAATGTGGCAATGGATTCCCAACCTTCTCTAGCGGCAGGACGAAAGGTAAATAACAGAACAGAGTATCGGGTTATTCAAGACCCAAAAAGAAATGAATGTGTTGATCTAATAGTTGTTGATAAGATGCAACCTATTGAAGAGGTAGTCCATTCATCCTCTCCAATGGAATTGAACTCTCCTCTTGTTCAGCAACCGGACAATCAACTCGCAGGTTTGGCAAATGAAATAATTGAATCAGCGGCCAATGAGATCATCAATTTAGTGGCTGATTTAGTGGTGAATGAGCCAATGGAAGTGACTAAGCCAACTATAGGTGCTTTGATTAGTAAGCCAACTAGGAAAGCATTGCAGGAGGAGCAAGGAAAAAATGTAATTGGGGATGACTCGGAGTCTGACGAGGCTATCACCCCTCATTCTCAACGTTTTGAAGTTAATTATGGCGATTTGGGTACTAATGTTGGTCAGCTTGTGTGCCAGCATTCCTCTCCTAATTCTTCTGATCTTCAAGAAGGTGCTAAAATTTGTGATATTGTTAATGAAGACGGAATGACTTTAGTTCTTTCAAAATCCCAAAAAGCAAAGATGAGGAAAAAGATTAGAGATGGGAATATTTCTAAAGAAGTCAGGGAACCCTATCCAACCCGCTCTAGGGTCCCCACAGAACGACTTGATTTATGAAGATTCTTTTTTGGAATGCCCGAGGAATGGGGAATGCTCCCACGAAACGGGTTCTAAGAAGAATGGTTTAACGTCATCGTCCATATTTAATCGGTATTTCTGAACCTTTTATTCAATTAAATTCTATTAAATTGTCTTTTTGGCGATCTTTACGCTTGTTTCCAGTTGCGGTTAATGACAGGGGTGACCTACAGCCAAATATTTGGTTGCTTTGTGATCAAGCCATCCAACCTTCTATTTTATTGGCAACCGCTCAACAAATCACTATTTCTTGTACCTTGGATTCTATCAGTTGTGTTATCACTTGGGTTTATGCAAAAACGACAATTGTTGAAAGGCGTCAGTTGTGGCAAGACTTGCGATCTATCAAATCCTCTTTTGTTAATGGTCCATGGCTTGTTCTAGGGGATTTTAATTGTGTTTTAGGCGCTCATGAAAAAAGGGGTGGGGTTCTTCCCAAGACTACTTCTTGTTCTGATTTTCAAGAGATGTCTTCAGCTTGTGATTTGCTTCATTTACCTCCAAAAGGATTGCCATACACTTGGACGAATAGAAGAGGAATAAAAAATCAAGTGGAAATGAGATTGGACCGTTGCCTTGGTAACTGTCAGTGGATTGATGCATGGTCTTTGTTGGAATGTTCCACTTTACCTCGTATATCTTCTGATCACTGTCCTCTTCTTGTTTCTTTCTCAAAGTTAACAATCACTCCGAAGGCTCCGTTTCGGTTTCATAGTATGTGGTTGGATCATCAGGATTTTTTTCCCCTAGTTGAGGATGTTTGGAAGTCTTCTAATTTTTATGGTTGTCCAATGTATGTGCTTGGTGCTAAGCTTCGTGTGCTTAAGTCTCGCATAAAAGTTTGGAACAAGTCGGTTTTCGGGGATGTTAATATGAATGTTGATAAAGCTTTCGATGCTTTGGATGAAATTCAAAAGGAAATTTCCAGCTTGGGTCCTTCAGAAGAAAGGTTTACAAAGGAGGATAATGCTTCTTTGTGCGTGCAAAATGCTCTTATTGCACAGGAAAAATTTTACCGTGACAAGTCTCGCATTAAATGGCTTTCTGAAGGGGATAATAATACCTCTTTTTTCCATTCCATGGTTAAAATCAGGAAACTTCACCGGTCACTGGCAGTTATGAGAGATGGTAATAGGGTACTTGATAATCAGATGGATATTAGTCAGCATGTTGTTACCTATTTTCAAGATCTTTTTTCTGCAGATAGTTCTGTGACAGACACTGGTTTGGTTGCTCGCATTATTCCCAAGGTAGTCACTGCCACCGAAAATGAGTCTTTGTTAGCAATTCCAACTCCTGATGAAATTTTTGAAACTTTAAAGTCCATGGACCACTCTAGTTCCCCGGGTCCAGATGGTTTTGGCGGGTCTTTCTATTTTAGGTGTTGGCCCATTGTGGGTAATGACGTGGTTCAAGCAGTGCAAAGTTTTTTCTCCCAAGGGAATATTCTGCCTCACTTCAATTCTAACTTAATGATTTTAATTCCAAAGGTGGATGGAGCGAATTCGGTGAACCATCTTCGTCCTATTGCTTTGGCTAATTTTTCATTTAAAATTATCACTAAGATTTTAGCAGATCGTTTAAGCCCTATTGCTGCTCACATTGTCTCCCCCCAGCAGAATGCTTTTACGAAAGGACGATCTATTGTGGATCCCATCATTCTCACTTCTGAATGCATGAACCTCCTTGATAGACGTTGTAGGGGTGGGAATATTGCAATCAAGTTTGATATTCGAAAGGCGTTTGACACTTTGGATTGGGGTTTTCTTCTCCGGGTTTTGGATGCTTTTGGTTTTTCAGCAGGTTTTGTGGATTGGATTTGTTCTATTCTAACTTCAGCTCATCTTTCTGTCTTTATTAATGGTTCAGTTGAAGGTTTTTTCCCTTGTTCTCGTGGTGTTCGTCAAGGGGATCCTTTGTCTCCTATTCTCTTTTGTCTAGCTGAGGAGGTTTTCAGCAGGGGTTTAACAAGGATGGTGGAAGCTGATCTAATTGACACATTTTCAGTTCCCATGGGTATTGCTCCACCATCTCATGTTCTTTTTGCAGATGATATTATGGTTTTCATGCGTGGAACTAAGCGATATATGCGTAACCTAATGCGTTTTGTAGAGGAGTACAACTTAAATTCGGGGCAATGCATAAATAAATTAAAATCTTTAGTTTTTCTTGGGAAATATGCAAGCAGTCGGCATGCTATTATTCAGAAGGTTCTTGGTGTAAGTCGGGGAAATCTGCCTTTTACTTATCTAGGTGTCCCTATCTTTCAGGGTCGTCCCAAAAGGATCTATTTTCAAGCCATTGCTGACAAGATTCGTTGCAAGTTGACGGCTTGGAAGGGTTCTTTGCTTTCGCAAGCAGGAAGACTCCAACTTATTAATTCAGTAATTCAGGGAATCTTGGTTTATAGTTTTCAAATTTATGCTTGGCCTACTAATTTGCTACGTGAAGTTCAAGGGTGGATTAGAAATTTCTTTTGGTCTGGTGATCCGTTAAAACGAGGTATGCCTCTAATAGCTTGGAGTTCTTGTTGTAAGTTGAAAGATGAGGGTGGTTTGGGTATCCGAGATCTTTTTGAATCCAACCGTTCTCTCCTTCTTAAAAGATGTTGGGATGTAATTTCTTCTTCCTCACCGGCTTCGGATTGGTTACGTAACAGATTTCTTAAAGACAACTTTCATTTGCTAAAGTCTTATAAAAAAGTCTTCCATTTGGTTGGGGCTTAAACAATTATGGCCCTCCTTTTATAGTTCCCTTCAATGGAGTGTTGGTGATGGCCGTAAGATTTCTTTTTTGTATGATAACTGGCTTGGAACCACTTTGCTCTCTAATATTGGTGAGGTTGACATAATTCCCTTGAATTCGAAGGTAAAAGATTTTATTCAGGATGCAAAATGGTCTCTTCCCATTGTCTTTACTTCTTCTTTTCCTCATCTTTCGGAGAAGATTATGAAGACTCCATTGCCAATTGCACACATGGATGATGCGTTATTTTGGACAGGTTCATCTTCGGGCACTGTTTCAGCTAAGGAGGCTTTTTCTTTTTTTCTCATCTCATGCTCCACATAAAAAATGGGCTAAAATGGTTTGGCATCAATCTATTCAGCCACGCAAAAGCTTAGTAGTTTGGAAAGCTTGTCATGGAAGATTATTGACTGATGATTTATTGCAACGCCGAGGTGTGGCTTTAGCTTCTTGTTGCGCTTTTTGTCATAATGCTAGGGAATCTTGTGACCATCTTCTTCTGCATTGTCCTCAAACAGTTGCTTTATGGAAATGGATTTTCATTCTTTTTGGCAAGCCTTATGATCCTTGGCAATGCATTGAAGATATTTTTTATGGTTCTTTGGTCTCATCTTTCCCCACATCTGTTCGGAAACTTTGGTTATTGGTTATTTGCAATTTCTTTTGGTGGCTTTGGCACAAAAGGAACAAGATCAGGTTTGAGAACAAAAGTTTCAGTATTGTCGAGTCTCAACGTTGTCTTTTACGGCATTGGAGGGAATCAGCTTCTACTTGTTTTTCTTCTTTCACTGGTTGTGTATCGATTCCCATTTTCTCCATGTTAAGAATTTCATCCCTTTCTTTGGATGCTCTTAATTTCGTGCCTGTGTTTTGGCGTCCGCCTCCTGTTGGGTGGATTAAGATTAACACAGACGGGTCTTGTAAAGGGAATGGTCATGTGGGTAGTGGTGGTGTTTTTCGTGACTCCAGTGGTCTTTTTTTAGGAGCGTTTGCCTCCTCGTCTTCTTATCCAAGTGCAGTTGTTGCGGAGATTGTGGCTGTCATCGAGGCAATTCAGATTGCATGGGATAAAAAATGGCATAACATTTGGTTAGAGACAGATTCTATGCATGTCATCAGTCTACTATCAGCTCACTCCATGGATGTTCCATGGTTTCTTAAAGTTTCTTGGGCAAATTGTTTATGGCATATTGCTCGCTTGAATTTGCGTTTTTCGCATATTTTTCAGGGAAGGGAATGTGTTTGGCGGATGCTTTTGCTAATTTTGGTGCAATGAATAGTAGCTTTACGTGGTGGGACTCGGTTCCTGATTTTGCTGATGCGTCTTATAGAAGAGATTGTGTCGGGCTTCCATTCTTCCGTTCGAGCTCATGAGGAGCAAAATGTTGCTATGGAAGAGGATTTCGGGAAAGAAATATAATCATCTGAATTATGGGAATTCAATTTTAGGTGACTGAAGCTAAGCACCCTTAAACTAGTCCATATCATTTTCAATAATTGTTTTTAGCGGGTTTTGGCCTAGTCCCCCCGTTTGTTCTACTTTTCCTTTTTTCTTCTTATTATTAATAAATTCTTGTAGAGGGGGGATGGGCGGGGGGTTTCTGGGTGCAACGGTCCTTTCTCCTTTGGGAGAGGGTTGGTGCCTCGCACGCGACTGTTGACGAAGAGCTAATCTCGCCTAATCCGTCTCTACAAAAAATTCAAAAAAAAAAAAAAAAAAAAAAAAAAAAAAAAAAAAAAGCTAGTTGGGGCATTTGAGGAACGTGACAAAATGATGAGCCAATATCATAGTTACCTGCACTAGATTTGGTACCAGATGACCCTTCAAACTCATGTATGGAACCAGACCTATTAGCATACATTGCAGCCATTAGAGGTTGTTTGAGACTTTCTTCAAGTGTTGCTTCTTCTCCCTTCAACTGAGACGTAAGCTCCTGCAGGGACACAAGATTTTCTCTTCCTCGAATAACAGCCTTAATAGTGTTGTATTCAGTTGGTAAGCCTCTGAGAGCAACTATGACAATATCTTCATCGGGAATAGCAACACCCACTGCAGCTAACTGGTCTCTACAATCTTTGATGCGTTGAAGATAAAGATCAATAGATTCAGCCCCTTTCTTAATATTCTGCAGATCAATTTTCATCTGGACAATACTTGTTCTAGTCATACTCGAGAACCTCTCTTTCAAGTTAATCCACATTTCCTTGGAGCTTTGACACCCAATGACACTCGATAGGGCAGCAGGAGACAAAGTAGCAGTGATAAGAGTCATCAAGGCTTTATCATGAATCTTCCAAACTTTATAGGCATCAGTTATGACAGCACGATTAATCACAGGGCCATCTTCAGTAGTCATATATTTCTCAGGACAGGGGATAGAGCCATCAAGAAATCCCATAATACCATTACCTTCTAACAGTAAATCGAGTTAAAAATTCCATGTTATATAGTTAGAAACATCTAACTTGACTGTGACTGTATTGCCAACACTTGGTATTAGGGAAGAAATGGGAGACTGTGTAAGAGTTAATTGGGCTGTGGTCACCATGTTTAATCAAGAAACAACAATCTTTACAGCAATATAGAAGTAATCAAGGGCTTCTTAATCACCACATAACAATCCGTGCGTCAATCAGAAGTAATCAAGAACCAACGATTAACAGAAATCTCCAACTCAATTCAATTCTGAAGAGCAACAAGAAATTCAACAAAATCACCACATGAATCTGAACAAGACGATAAGGAATTCGACCAATACCTCCAGCCAAGACGACGATCAACAACGACAACTACTGCACGAAGAGCAACCGACGTCGACTAACCCATGCAAGAAAACTCTAAAATTCTAGGGTTGCAGAAACCAAGATTCACCAAAGACCACGAAATAATGACCAATCAACTTCCAGCGAACAAGCGAAAACCACCGGAGCAAAAACGAAGAGACGCGAAAGCACCAGGATCGTCACGCGACGGCGGTAGCCATTGCCAGCGATGATACCATGTTAACAAACCAACTGTATGGAAGAAACTTAGAGAAGAAGATATCAAACACAGAGAAATAGAGAGGGAAAGTAGAGAGGGAAAAAATAATCTTGTTATATTTTTTCTTATGTTTATGACAACACTAATCTCTTATAAATACAACACACCTTATGACTAACATTCACAACCCCAATACAATTATGACACATGGCATAGCTATATCCTAACAAAGTAGACATATAATTGTTGATAGGATATTTGGCTTTGGCATGCATATCATGCTCATATTGTACTTTAGGTTTTCCACGATTAACTCGTGGAGGCAACTGATAAGTAGAAGAATCGTCAGAATTGTCACGCCATAACCCGCAAATAAAGACTATTCACAAGTTAGGGTGTGAGTCATATCTTAGCTATAGAAATAAATTCTACAACCAGTATATGGTGGAAAATAAAATAAAATTATAATGATTACACCGTACAACATATAACAAAACTTATATACAAATTTATCGAATACGCAGCAGAATAAAATAGTGTACAAATTAATTCACAACAAAAACTACCAATTAGATGATAATTAAATTGTAACAATTCGTTCAAATGCATGAAATATATGCAAATGAGATGGATAAATGTACTCACTCCCTTCTAATCCTGCTCACACACACCTAAGTATGTTAGAATATGAGTTAACTCTCGTTCATCCCTTAAACCCAATTTTTTTTAATTAAACTCTCAATTTCCACTTTATTATACAGGCATTTCCCTCGACGCCCAATCGTATATTCAAGCCTTGTACCCTGCGCTTGACATATATAAGATTTCATTATTTCATAATCAACCAATTTGTATACTCAAGCCCTGCACCCTACGCTTGACATATACACGGTTCATTATTATTCAAGGCAAATTTTAACCCTTGAATATCCTCTCAATTTAAACACTTTACACAAGTGAGCACTTGACACAACACAACTCTTTTTCTAGCTTTGCAATGCATATGTATATGTCATGTTCACATAGATATCAATACTCACACTTTATCTAACAAGCCTGCAAACTTCAACATAAATATAAAGTGATTAGTGACAAGAGTAATATAATCATAATATTAACAAAATAATAATCTTTAATGTAAATGATAAGCGATATGTTACCATTTCCTCTTTTTTTTTTATTGTTTCAATTTCATTTCCTCTCTCTTGTTCTCTTTCTTCCTTCACCACTTCCCCTTCCTCTTCTTTAATATAGCTGAAATTCTCAACTGAACATCAACTGTTTGAACTGGAATACAAATCATCACATACATTAGATTGTCGTGGTTTTAGGATATGTTATAGAGAAGATGATAAGGAACAACTTTTATGAAGGAAGTGTTTTGATTAGAGCTACGAAAAATGGGGTTTTGGTACTCATAACATGGATGTCCAGTTTTCTGCGGAATTAGAGACATGAGTTGGTATTTCAAACGTATTGGACGATCACACCGTTAACGGAGAGGGAGTGATGTGCCTTATATGTACATGCTCCCCTTCCTATAGCATGAGGCATTTTGAGAACTCATTGGCTTCAGATTCCATTGGAAATCCGAAGTTAAGCGAGTTCGGGCGAGAGCATTCCTAGGATGGGTGACCCATTGGGAAGTTCTCGTGTGAGTTCCTAGAAACAAAACCGTGAGGATGTGGCCCAAAGCGGACAATATCGTGCTACAGCGGAGTCGAGACTAGGATGTGATAGAATGGTATCAAAGCCACTCTGCCGTTCGGTGCGAGTGTACCGACGAGGATGTCGGGCCCCTAAGGGGGGTGGATTGTAAGATCCCACATCGACCAATAGAGAGGGGGTGATATGCCTTATATGTACATGTTATTCTCCTATAACACGAGGCCTTTGAGGAACTCACTAGCTTCGGATTCCATTGGAACTCCGAAGTTAAGCGAGTTCGGGCGAAAGCATTCCTATGATAGGTGACCTACTGAGAAGTTCTCGTGTAAGTTCCCAGAAATAAAACCGTGAGGGCGTGGCCCAAAGTAGACAATATCGTGCTACGACGGAGTCGATATTGGGATGTGATAAGAATTTACCTCATGTATGTCACCATCTTGTACCAAACTATTAGAAGAATCATCATTGGATGAACCATCATCAGGCAACTCGTTAGACATACCAACAACATGCAACCGGTCATCAGAAGGTAATTCGTCAAACATATTAATAGGCAATTCGTTGGGCACATCTGATATGTCGTCATCAGAAATAGTTTCGGGAATGACAGGTGACTGATCACAATCTATATCTGACTGATCAGTATCACGCAACATAATAGGTTTTGTCCCCAACTCTGCCTGTAACACATCATCCATACCATCTCTTTGAATCTGCACTTCACTCCCCCTCTCCCCCTAAAGTGGAGAGTTGGAAGAGGGCTTCACAAAATACGAAACTTCCTCGTGAAAGGTGACATCCATGGTAATACAAGTTTTCTGAGTCAAATGATGATAACACTTATAGTCTTTCTGATTGTTAGCATAGCCAATAAATACACATCGGAGAACACATGCATCAAGTTTACTCCATTGATGAGAGTAGACATGTACATACACAATACACCCAAACACAATCGGAGGAAGTTTTGATATAGAAACAAGAGAAACATGTTTTTGTAGCACATCCAACGGCGTCTAAAAATCAAGAACCCTACTTGGAACACAATTTATCAAATATAAAGCAGCCAAAATAGCATGACCCCACAAATGATTAGGAGCACATTTATCCAACATCAAAGAGCGAGCAACCTCCATTATTTGACAATTCTTCCGTTCGAACGCACCATTTTGTTGGGGTGTAAATGGAGTAGTCGTCTGGTGAATAATATCTTGATCAAGAAAAAAGCATGCCAAAGTGCGATTCACATATTCTCCTCCGTTATCAGACCTGAAGACCTTAACTTTGTTTTGAAACTGAATAGACACCATTGCACAAAATTATTGAAGAAGCAAAGGAACATCATTCTTATTTTTCATCAAGAACACCCAAGTTAATCGAGTACAATCATCAATAAAAGTAACAAACTAACGGAATCCATTAGAAGTAATCTTCGTCGGACCCCACACATCAGAATGTATTAAATCAAATGGCAAAGTAGCTTTAGAATCACTTATAAGAAAGGAAGCACGATGACTCTTAGACATGACACATGTTTCACACTTGAACTCTAAATCACTACAAGTGTGAAACAAAGAAGGAAATAGATGCTTTATATAACTAAATGATGGATGTCCCAGTCGTTGATGCCACAACCAAATTTGATGTCTATCATTCACTTTAGAACTTAAAACTTGATGATTATTTAAACCAGAAACAATAGTATCTTCCATAGTCAAGATGT